TCAGAAACAAGTAATCAAAAATCAAAAATACATTAAAACTTTGTCTGAAACCTTGCTGTTGACAGCCACTCAGAACATTTCCCAACGTGGCCATAATGAATCAGAAAACTCAAAAAACGGGAAATTTCCTTGAGATTTTAGATCTTGTGAGTAAACATGATGCCTTAGTAAAAAAAAAACTGCTGTCACAGGGTCCCAGAAATGCTAAATACACAAGCAAAAGCACTCAATTCCTCATTCCTTTCCTCACTAACTGCACAATTTTCCCCACCTGCTCCGGTGGCTGCCTCTCATCACCAGGACCACCCAGCACCTCCTCCACTCCAAGAATCGTATGTCCCCGACCCAGAACCCTTTTCCGGAGAACTGGATAAGTGCCGAGGCTTTCTCCTGCAATGCGCTACAGTTTTAACGGCCACGGACTTTTCCTTCAGACCAGTCCAAGGTACTTTATGATTATTAAGGGGGCGAGCCCTGGCTTGGGCTGAGGCGATTAATTCTAGTCGATCCGTCTCCTCTTACACCTTTGATGAATTCGAAGCCTTAATGAAACAAGTCTTTGACCATCTAGACTATCAAGGAAATGCTGCGAGACGATTGTTACAGTTACGCCAGGACAATAGGAGTGTTGCAGACGTTTCGCTCACTGGCGGCTGTCTCAGGATGGAACAATGAGGCATTACTCGGGGTATTTATGAATGCACTTAATGAACACTTAAAGGATGAACTGACAACAAGAGATGTACCCTCTGACTTTAACACCCTTGTTTCGTTGGCTATTAGGATTGACAACCGCCTTCGCGAGCGACGCAGGGAGAGGTCAGGCCGCTCACGTCCTCCCAGTTACACTCACCTTTCCTCATCACATCCCATGAAAGCCGAGGGCAGCCCTGAAGCAAAGACCTTGGACATTGCCGCCCTCTGGTGTGGAACCCATGCAAATGGGGCGAGCCCATCTCTCCCCGACAGAATGTTTCTGCAGATTAAGAGCTGGGGAGTGCTTATACTGTGGAAAGCACGGCCATCTCCGTGTTTCCTGCCCCGTGCGGCCAAAAGACGGAGCTCATCAATAGAGGTGGGGGTATTTGTGAGTGAAACTTCTTCTTCTACCCCGTCACATTCTAGAATGCAGCTCCAAGCCACTCTTTGTGTCAATAAAGTAGAACTCCCCTTACTTGCGCTTGTAGACTCTGGTGCAGATGACTGTTTTTTGGATAAAGAATTAGCCATGAGGTCTGGAATCCCCGTTGAGACACTAGAAGCCCCTCTTACAGCTAACGCTATTGATGGCAGATTGCTGGCCCAAGTTACCCAGCGCACCAAACCGGTAGCCCTAGTAGTATCTGGTAACCATAGAGAGGAGATCCAATTTCACCTCATTTCAGCCCCCCACTCACCACTGGTTCTTGGTTCCACCTGGTTGAAGCGCCATAACCCCCATATTGACTGGGATGAAGGGAGGATTGTGAGTTGGAGTTCATTTTGCCATTCAACCTGCCTGCAATCGGCACTGCAGCCTGTGGTGGCTGCTGTGGCACCTTCTAGCCCTGAAAACCCCGATCTGTCCTCCATCCGTCTAGAATATCACGACCTGGGTATGGTGTTCAGCAAAGACTTAGCCCTCTCATTACCACCACACCAGCCATATGATTGTGCCATAGACCTTCTTCCCGGGGCACCATTACCCACTAGCAGGCTGTACAATCTTTCTCGCCCTGAACGAGAGGCCATGGAAAGGTATATCCATGACTCACTAGCTGCAGGCATCATTCGGTCTTCTTCATCCCCTGTTGACGCAGGATTCTTTTTTGTAGGCAAGAAGGATGGCTCTCTCCGTCCCTGCTTTGACTATCGCGGCCTTAACAATATCACTGTTAAGAATAAATACCCGTTGCCACTGATTAACTCTGCCTTCGAACCCCTTCACGGAGCGACCATTTTCTCAAAACTGGATTTAAGAAACGCTTACCACCTTGTCCGTATAAGAGAAGGAGACGAATGGAAGACAGCGTTCAACACCCCACTGGGCCATTATGAGTATTTAGTCATGCCCTTTGGCCTCACAAACGCTCCCGCTGTTTTTCAGGCCAACCAGTTCGTCTTTGTCTACCTAGATGACATTCTGATATTTTCCAAGACCCATTCAGATCACATTTCTCATGTCCGTCAGGTTCTTCAGCGGCTGCTGGAGAACAGACTTTTTGTAAAGGCAGAGAAATGTGAGTTCCATGTTCCCTCTGTCAGTTTTCTGGGCTACATCCTTGAAGGAGGGCAGATGAGGGCGGACCTGCAACGTTTTTTAGGCTTTGCCAATTTCTACCGTCGTTTCATCCGGAACTACAGCAAGGTGGTAGCCCCCCTAACTAGTCTAACCTCTTCCTCAATCACCTTTTCCTGGACCCCAGAGGCTGATCAGGCTTTCAGTGAACTCAAAAGACTTTTCACCACTGCTCCTATTTTAGTCCAACCTAATCCCTCTCTGCAGTTCATAGTGGAAGTAGACGCGTCAGATTCTGGGGTGGGAGCCGTTCTGTCCCAGAGGACCGGTCCAGATCAGAAACTCCATCCCTGTGCCTTCTTCTCGCGAAGATTATCGCCGGCTGAACGGAACTATGATGTGGGTAACAGGGAGCTTCTAGCTGTCAAACTGGCTTTGGAGGAGTGGAGACATTGGCTCGAGGGTTCCGAACAGCCATTTATTGTCTGGACGGATCACAAAAATCTGGCATACATCCAGTCAGCCAAGAGATTAACCTCTAGGCAAGCCCGCTGGTCACTGTTTTTTGGTCGATTCAGGTTTTCCATTACATACCGCCCTGGGTCTAGAAATATTAAACCAGATGCTCTCTCTCGTCAGTTCTCTGCTATCGATGTTCCGCCAGGTCCTGAGACTATCCTGCCACCCTCCTGTGTGGTTGCTCCAATCTCCTGGGAGATCGAGTCGGCAGTCAGGGAAGCACAGCAGGCCCAACCAGACCCAGGTAATGAACTGCCAAATTGCTTATTTGTTCCTGACACTGTACAGGTTCTCCAGTGGGTTCACGCTTCCCGCTTTGCCTGCCACCCAGGTGGTAAACGCACCCTGTCCCTACTGAGAAGACATTTTTGGTGGCCCTCCATGGAGGCAGACACCCGTGATTACGTGGCAGCATGTTCTGTTTGCGCCCGGGGAAAATCATCTCACCGCCCTTCTGAGGGACTGCTGCAGCGCTTGCCCATTCCAAGCCGGCCCTGGTCACATATTGCTATGGACTTTGTGACTGGGTTACCAGTCTCACAAGGTAACTCCGTCATACTCACTATTGTCGACCATTTTTCTAAGGCTGTTCATGTTGTGGCTCTCCCTAAACTCCCTTCAGCTCGTGAAACTGCCGACTTACTGGGGCAACATGTTATCCGGCTGCATGGAATCCCACTAGACATTGTTTCAGACCGTGGACTGCAGTTCATCTCCCAGGTGTGGCAAGCTTTTTGTCGCACCTTAGGCGCTACAGTGAGTCTATCATCTGGTTTTCACCCCCAAACCAAAGGACAAACGGAGAGAGCCAATCAGGACATGGAGTCCGCATTAAGGTGTGTCGCTGCCACCAATCCCACCTCTTGGAGCTCACATCTCACCTGGGTTGAATATGCTCACAACTCCCTTACTAGCTCGGCTACAGGTATGTCCCCTTTTGAAGCCTCCCTCGGGTATCAGCCTGCCCTGTTCCCCTCACAGGAAGGTGAAATCGCTCCGCCGCCACTGCCGCAAGGTCTGGAGAGAGGGTTGTGCAGCCCTCCTGTGGACAGCGGAGAGGAACAAGCGCATAGCGGACAGACATCGGACCCCTGCTCCCACCTATCAGCCAGGTCAGAAAGTTTGGCTCTCTTCCAGGAATATTCCCCTTAAAACAGAGTCTAAGAAACTGTCCCCTCGCTTCATTGGTCCCTATGAGATTGAGAGAGTTATTAGCCCTTCAGCGGTCAGACTGAAACTGCCTAAACCCATGAGGATTCACCCCAGCTTCCATGTCTCTCAGATCAAGCCAGTGTCTTTCAGCCCCTTGTGCCCTCCGCCCTCCGCCCCTCCGCCGGCCCAGGTTGTTGATGACCACCCAGTGTATACTGTCCGTCGGCTCCTGGGTGTTCGACGGCGGGGGAGGGGGCTGCAGTACTTGGTGGATTGGGAGGGGTACGGCCCGGAAGAGGACCTGGGTTCCCCGGTCCTTCATCTTGGACCCCCGACTCATCCGTGAGTTTCATCGGGCACGCCCTGATCGGCCTGGTGGGTCGCCAGGAGGCTCCCTTTGAGGGGGGGTACTGTTGTGGTGCTACAGAATCTCTCCACTACCTTGTGTTCTTTTGTTCCCCCCTTCCCTGTATTTTCTGTCTGTCCTCCCTGTCTGTGTCTGTCTGGGCGTGGCTACACTCTCTGGCTCCAGCAGCGCACCTGGTTCTCATTCCACTAATCAAGCTCCTGCAGTATTTCAACCCCAGTCCGCCTCACATTCTTCACCAGATCGTCAGTTAACCACATGTGGTACATGCGTCAAGGCCAACTATCTTCTCCTGTAAGATTCCCTGTAATTTCTGTCTCTCCCTGGATTAACCTGTTTTTCTCTGAGCCCAGGATCACACTACCTCCGGGAAACCTGCTGAAAGCCACACCCCGCTCTGCTTCTATCTTGCCTGGACTAACTCCCCTCCTCTGTGTTCTCCATTCTGCCTTGTTGGAGCCAACCACCCAGTCCTCCGTTGCACCTTTCAATAAAACTTCTTTGTTACCCCTTCGAACTGTTCCGAGTCTGCCTTTGAGTCCTCAAGTTTTTGCATTATGACAATAAGGGCATGATTAAACAAGAACTACTGTAGTTTAAAAGTGTTTTTGTTCTACCCCTGCCACCCCGCCAAGACCTCTTGCCACCCCTTTGCCCCCCCATGTAAAATTTTCTAGATCCACCACTGTGTTATGTACAACATGGTTCAGGACACAGAAAAATATTTCAATTTAAAGTACTTACAAGTGATCTTGTTCTTCTTCATCAGCTTCTCTTGTTGTATGACCTTTTCCATTTGTGCACGTGCAAATGTTACAGCTGTATAGTAGGATGGTTTATTTTCAGATTGTCTCATCTTGTCCACCATGTCCAGCAGCTCTGGGATCTGCTGCTTGTCCTTGATGTTGAGAACAACATATCTTCCTCCACAGCTCTGACGGAGCTCCTGGATGTCCTTGTTTTCCTTTAGATAGTTAACAACAGCTGGAGCTGCAGGATCTGACTCCACAGTGAACAGAATCATGGTGAAGTCATCGACTCGAGAGCTGAATGTGTTCTGGATGGTCTCTAACTCTCCCTTGTCTTCATCAGTGAGGGGACCCACAGGTAGGACCAGGATGAAGGCATGGACGCCCTCAGGATCACAGAGGGAGATACACCTGAGTGATTCCTCCATCACTGCCTCCTGAGGTTGTCCATACAAGGCAGGCAGCTCCACCAGGGAAACCCAACGTCCACACACCTCTCCCTGATGTTTAACACACTCTGATGAGTTGGAGACTGAATGAAACTCTGTCTGACCTAAAATGGCCTTGGCTGTTGAAGTCTTCCCTGCTCCTCTTCTCCCACACAGAACCAGGTTTAAAGCTGGTTTGATGTGTTCAGACTTTGGTCTGATGGTCTCTTCAGTGAAGGTGAGGAAGGCTCCTCTGTTTTCATGCACAATGTTCTCAATCTTCTCCATCAGCTGTCCATGGTCTTCTTCTACCATCCTGTAGTGTCTTCCTCCACAGTTTTTAAGCAGCTGACTGACAGAGCTACTTGTTCCATCATGTGTGCTGATGACCATTAAGTGTTTAAAAGCATCTTGACTAAACAAACTCAGGATGAACTTCAGTGTTTGTCTGTTCTCCTCAGTGAAATCAGAAGGCTTCACTAACAGCAGCAGAACATTTGGTCCAGGAGGACAAAGAGTCTCACAGCTCTTCACCTCTCTTCTCAGCTTCTCCACAGTCAGACTGAAGATGTCTGGAGTTTTCACTACTGTTAATGGTTTTCCTCTCCACTCTCCACAGGTGGCCACACTTTGCCCGGTTGGGGAGGTTTTGTGGTGATTAAAACCTTGGTCCCTGATGATGAAGTTACCAAGTTTTGTCTGTTTGTCGTCACATTTTCCCAGCAGCACAATCCTGAATCCAGATGCTGTAATACAACAGAGAGAAAGTTAAAATTAAGTAGGAATCACAGTAATCTGAAAGTGCCACGGAGACGGCTGTGAACACGTTCAACTTTTATTGGCGTTTCAAAAGCATAAAGAAAGGTATGTTACGTGTGCATGACGTTAGCAGAGCTAGCAAGCGTACCTATGTATACTGTATGTTTCAGGGCACTAATTTAATTTGCTTGCTTTGGTTCTTTTCCAGTTATTTGCCACCTAGCCAGGTGCACAAGCTAACGTTACCTAATTTAGTTAACATGTTAAGGGAAGTAGCTAATGCAGTTAGTTTGTTAGAGACTGAGGACAAGGCCTATGGTCACAATTGTTCCTAAGTTCCATTTTTGCTTGTGATAAACAATGATGAGACAGGCCACAAAAAGCTATGTAGCTAATGTGTAAGTTAAGTTACATCACTATTAGCTACTTTTCAGCTGCATACAGTGCCGTACATTAAAGCTCTGCTCCGTGTTACCGCTCCCTCATTTGGGTGAGAGAGATGGAGTAGAGATGTGACAGCAGAGAGTGAAGACTGAGTAATGCACCTCCTAATCTATGAATAATGTTCATAGGTTGCTCTTTACTTTAAGACTAATTTGGGTTTGAATACACAGCTGCAGATCAATATGGGATAACATTACAAGAATCATCCAGAAAGCCTAATGCTTGCACAAAAAATTGTGTTGTGTAATAAATAAATGATAATTATAGTGATATAATTTTCCTCAATAACACTATAAAAATGTTTAATAAATGTTTCATACATGTAGGTGAAACATGCCATGGGGGCTGCTTCATTGAAGGTCACTTCTTGTTACCATCAGGTGGCGCTCTGACTATGAATATTAGCATGTTGATGTGTTTAGGGCGGGACTCTTATCATACTTGTACAATTTTGATACAAATTTAAGCATGTGCACTGAAGTTATAACAACTTCCAGTATAATGGTAAATCTTCAATTTGTGACGCCACGCCACGGACATGCCCTTCAGCGAAAACTCAGTTTGTACAACTTTCTTAAGTCAGACTTGCCTCCCCACAGGCAATGCAAGTCGCAGGTGAAGAACAGCACAGAGATTTGAAAACATTTAATTCAATAAGACAAATTTGGAAAAATAATTTGTGATTTTGCACAAAAGTGACATCTAGTAGTTGATTTTGACCACATTTTGCACGTAGCCTTATTGGGGCATGGGGACGTACTGACAGAGATGGGGACTCGAGTTAGAGACTCGGACTCGAGTGCAACTTAAGTCGCACACCCAGTGACTTGAGACTCGACTTGAGACTCATCCTCAAAAGACTTCAGACTCGACTCTGACTCGAGGTGCAGGACTCGTGAACAATGCCGTTTGCCGGCAATTGCCAATTGCCGTTATTCCCTCCCCCCGTTACCTATAACCTGTCTACGTACGCGCGCCCACACGTGAATACAACAAACACCGGCAGCTGCTCCGTCATTCATCATAAACTTTGGCTTTAAAACTTCATACAACAAGACCCAAACAAAGACGCACAGAATACAAAATAGGTTAGTAACCTGTGGTGAGTAAAACAGCTCAGCATTGGCCATCTAACGTTAGCTTGCTTCTTGCTTCAGCTACGACCTACAAGAGGTTTACTCCGACTGTCGTTCGTTATGAAAAGATGAATGAGCGTTTGTTTACTTGCCAAACTTGTGGTGGTAGATAAAGTAATTTACGTCCCGCTGGCTGCATCACCTTAATTATTGCCATTAGCTAGAAAGAGGTTACAGGTTTATTTAGTTATAACGTTACACTAGTTTGAGAGTCTGATGGTGTGTTGACTTACAGTAGTTTAAGCTGTCAGCGATTGCATTGCACATTACATGGTTGTGCTCTTCAAGTTAAAAACAGGTTACAGTTTATTGATTTGAGAGTCAGGAGGATGTGTTGACTTACAGTGGTTTAAGCTGTCATTAATTGCATTTAAAAGGTTGTGCTCTGTAAGTTAAAAACAGGTTACAGGTTTATTGTTGATTATGCAACGTCACAGTTTTATTTAGTTAACGTTACGCTGGGTTTGAGAGTCTTGGGAGTGTTTTCACTTACAGTATTTAATAAGCCGTCAGTAATTGAATTACACAGTACATGATTGTGCTCTGTAAATGAAAAACAGGTTAACAGTATTCCTTATAGCTATGCAGTTTTATTAGCAACCTGGATTGAACGCCGCAGGTGATACAGCATTCGTAATAACCACGAGAGACTTGAGACTTGACTCGGACTCTAGCTCAGAGACTTGAGACTTGACTCGGACTCTTGCTCAGAGACTTGAGACTTGACTCGGACTCTTGCTCAAAGACCCAAATTTTGTGTTAATCAGACAGACCTCTGTGGAGCTATGACGTCCCTTCATTTTATTTGTTCCTTTATAAATTGCGCATTTTGTGGACTATCAAAAATATTTAACAAGTTATGATCATGAGGGTCTAAAGAGTCGGGGCATGAGAATGTACTAAGCACTGTTAATCCAACATGTTTTCATCTCAGGGTATCATTACTGACACTTTCAGACAACATGACAAAGTGTAAGTATTTGACATGATTGGACGTCCTGAGATGAGAATGAATCGGATAGACTTATGTGGGGATATGACATCACTTCCTGTTTTTATTCCATAACATACAAGAAGTTGTTCATTTATAAGTTAGGCATTTTTTGCATTTTCACAATTATTTTAATAACTTTCGGTGATGGGAGTCCAAAATTTTTTCTTGCAAAGTTTCGTGCAGATTGGACTCTCTGTCTAGGAGGAGGACGAGTAGGTTTCACATATTTCGCTATTTTGCAAAAAGAATGAATGTGCAATTTTGAATGTGCAATGTACTACGTGGGAGTTATGGGCCAAAATGCATTGATCTTGATTAAAGCGCCACCTACTGGTTGATATGTGTCATTTTTTGCACCTGATGTGTAAATTTGGTTTCTACACAGCTGTTTCTGTATAAAAACTTACATATTAGAAAAGATGTAACAGGGTCAGAAACAGTGAATTGAAATGATTGGCAGCAACCGGTGCCTTTACAGGAAATACTGTTTTGTCCAAACAGAGCAGTGGATGTGGAGCTCGGGGTTTGATGGGAATGTGAGTGTTAGCCTTAAATTGTTTGGATATTTCTAAGAAAAGGCAGCATCACATTTCTCCTAAAATGTATCTAGGCATGAATTTACTTACTGTGAGTCTTTGGGGTTTTCTCTGATAGTGAGAGTTGTTCAGGGATTTTTGTAACACCATACAACCCTGTAAACAGATGACATCATTAATTTGCAGTTTAATTTTCTGATTTAGGAATTTCTGATCAAGGAAGGTTTGTGTAAACAAAGTTTTTATTGTCTTGTCAGAATTGTTTCTGCACCAGCAGCTTTAACAGCATCTGTGAGAGAAATCTGTGTTTGCTTTTGTTTTGGACTTTGATGATCACCTGGTAAAGAAGCTGTTGTGTCCTCAAACACATCACAGCTGACATGCTCTCCATTGTTCTCTTTTACGATTTGATCCAAGCGTGTTAACAGCTCTGGAAGTTCGAGGTTCTTCTGCTTCAGGTATCTGTGTCTACATTTTCTGATCAGGTCTTTTAACGGAGGCTGTTCCATGTATTTTTCCATCAAACCTGGACTCTCCTCTCTGGGTGTTGATATCAGAACCAGTGAATGATCAAATGATCGATCACTGAAGAGTTTCAGGACTCTGCAGAGCCTCAGTTTGTGTTTCTCAGTGAAGTCTTCAGGCTGTAGAACCAGCAGGAACACATGAGGTCCAGGATCAGAGAGTCTCACAAAGTTTGTCACATGTTCTGTCAGTTTGTGTTGAGAGATGTTGGGATGCAGCAGATCTGGGGTGTTGATGAGAACTATTTCTTTCTCTTTTAACTGTCCTCTGACTGTCAGACAGTCGTCTGGTTCTTCATCAGTGTTGAACTTAGTCTCTCCCAGTATGAAGTTCCCCACTGAACTCCTCTCAGACCAGCTGTTCCCCAGCAGAACAACCCTCAGCTCAGACACTGAAAGGATAACAAAGATTTAGAAAAGGTGGAAAAAGATCAACTCAGACTTGCATTTATTCATTTACAGTTTAATTTCAGTTTAACTTCAGGTTAGTTACTTCTTACAGATTGCATCTATAAAATACTGCAAACTCAGATATTCTTAAACAGGATAACACAGTTCGGTTTGACTCACTGTGAGGAGGCAGGACGCTCATGCTGCTCCTGCGTTTCAGAGGCAGCAGATCATCTGTGGTTGAAAGAATCACACAGCATTTGTTTACTTATTTATTTATCAGATGTAATCTATAGAAGACCTTTTAGTGACAGTAACAGTGACATCTTTTTGGATCATTAAACCTTTGGACCAAATCGTAAACAAAAAAACCAACAGAAGCAAAAGAGAGACCCAATCAGAAAGTGACTGTCTGAGAGTCCATTTGCATCTCCTAAGTTATTTGACATAGTAAATCACAGACCTGAGACCTACAGCAAAACAAACTAGACTGAATAAAACTGGGATCCAGCTTGAGTCGAGTGAGATCTGTAGCCCAAATAATCAGATAGTATCCCTCATTTTTCTACTTCATTATGGTTATTATCACAGGTATGAACATATATTCAGCTGAGTTTAATTCAGGACGCAGACCTGATTTAACATCTGAGGACGCAGCTCTTTAGTTATCTGTATAATATGTGGACAGAGAGAGAAGAGTGTTTTCCAGACTAACACAGTCTGACTGGACTCACCTGATGCTGCAGACGCCATGATGTCACTCTGCTGGAAACACCAGAGACCAATTCAACTAGAAACCAACTGCTGGGTTTGAGAGCCTGAAGAGGTAGAATGGAAATCTTAATCACAAGATTCAAACAAGGATTTTTAGGACAACATGGAGTTTGGTTACTGCAGACAACAATGTGAAGACCTGTGTGTGATTTTACTGTAAATGTCCCTAAAATGAAGCATTGATGTTTAACTCTAAGAATTATTTCACAGGTCACACTGAGGAGATCTACATCTCAGTGAATCCTCCCTCAATGATTTATCTGATTAAACTCTGGACTTGAAAACAAAAACCAAATAAAGTATTTTAGAAATCAGCCGCCTCCAACACCTGAACTATCAGTGCATTTACAGTGGAGTGTTACTTTGTGTAAGTGTCCAATGAAGGTTAAAGTCAAGGGCAACTGGAGTTGGTTAAGATAAATTTCAGTTGCCCTTGACTTTAACCTTCGTTGGATAACTATGACCTGGAGGACTGAGAATCTTCACAGACATTTTGTATAAGTGGTTGTGTTGATGTTCATTTTATTCAGTCTTGGAAATGTACTGTATATATATATATACACACACACACAGGTGCTGGTCATATAATTAGAATATCATCAAAAAGTTCATCCATTAAAAAAGTGAAACTTCAATATTATATTCATTCATTACACACAGACTGATATATTTCAAATGTTTAATTCATTTAATTGTGATGATTAAAACTGACAACTAATGAAAACCCCAAATTCAGTATCTCCGAAAATTAGAACATTACTGAAGACCAATACAAAAAAGGATTTTTTGAAATGTTGGCCAACTGAAAAGTATGAACATGAAAAGTATGAGCATGTACAGCACTCAATACTTAGTTGGGGCTCCTTTTGCCTGAATTACTGCAGCAATGCGGTGTGGCATGGAGTCCATCAGTCTGTGGCACTGCTCAGGTGTTATGAGAGCCCAGGTTGCTCTGATAGTGGCCTTCAGCTCTTGGTCAATGGTCGTCTTTTGGACAGCTGTCAAGTCAGCAGTCTTCCCCATGATTGTGTAGAACTAGACTGAGAGACCATTTAAAGGCCTTTGCAGGTGTTTTGATTTAATTAGCTGATTAGAGTGTGGCACCAGGTGTCTTTAATATTGATCCTTTTCACAATATTTTAACTTTCTGAGATACTGATTTTGGGATTTTCATTAGTTGGCAGTTATAATCATCAAGATTAAAAGGAATGAACACTTGATCAGTCTGTGTGGAATGAATGTTTACATTATACAAATTTCACTTTTTGAATGGAATTACTGAAATAAATCAACTTTTTGATGATATTCTAATTATATGACCAGCACCTATAAATATATATATATATATATATATATATATATATACAGTGGGTACGGAAAGTATTCAGACCCCTTTAAATTTTTCACTCTTTGTTTCATTGCAGCCATTTTCCAAAAATCAAAAACGTTCATTTTATTTCTCAGTAATGTACACTCAGCACCCCATCTTGACAGAAAAAAACAGAAATGTAGAAATTTTTGCAAATTTATTAAAAAAGAAAAACTGAAATATCACATGGTCATAAGTATTCAGACCCTTTGCCGTGACACTCATATTTAACTCAGGTGCTGTCTATTTCTTCTGATCATCCTTGAGATGGTTCTACACCTTCATTTGAGTCCAGCTGTGTTTGATTATACTGATTGGACTTGATTAGGAAAGCCACACACCTGTCTATATAAGACCTTACAGCTCACAGTGCATGTCAGAGCAAATGAGAATCATGAGGTCAAAGGAACTGCCTGAAGAGCTCAGAGACAGAATTGTGGCAAGGCACAGATCTGGCCAAGGTTACAAAAAAATTTCTGCTGCACTTAAGGTTCCTAAGAGCACAGTGGCCTCCATAATCCTCAAATGGAAGACGTTTGGGACGACCAGAACCCTTCCTAGAGCTGGCCGTCCGGCCAAACTGAGCTATCGGGGGAGAAGAGCCTTGGTGAGAGAGGTAAAGAAGAACCCAAAGGTCACTGTGGCTGAGCTCCAGAGATGCAGTCGGGAGATGGGAGAAAGTTGTAGTAAGTCAACCATCACTGCAGCAATCCACCAGTCGGGGCTTTATGGCAGAGTGGCCCGACGGAAGCCTCTCCTCAGTGCAAGACACATGAAAGCCTGCATGGAGTTTGCTAAAAAACACCTGAAGGACTCCAAGATGGTGATAAGTAAGATCCTCTGGTCTGATGAGACCAAGATAGAACTTTTTGGCCTTAATTCTAAGCGGTATGTGTGGAGAAAACCAGGCACTGCTCATCACCTGTCCAATACAGTCTCAACAGTGAAGCATGGTGGTGGCAGCATCATGCTGTGGGGGTGTTTTTCAGCTGCAGGGACAGGACAACCGGTTGCAATCGAGGGAAAGATGAATGCGGCCAAGTACAGGGATATCCTGGACGAAAACCTTTTCCAGAGTGCTCTGGACCTCAGACTGGGCCGAAGGTTTACCTTCCAACAAGACAATGACCCTAAGCACACCGCTAAAATAACGAAGGAGTGGCTTCACAACAACTCCGTGGCTGTTCTTGAATGGCCCAGCCAGAGCCCTGACTTAAACCCAATTGAGCATCTCTGGAGAGACCTGAAAATGGCTGTCCACCAACGTTTACCATCCAACCTGACAGAACTGGAGAGGATCTGCAAGGAGGAATGGCAGAGGATACCCAAATCCAGATGTGAAAAACTTGTTGCATCTTTCCCAAAACGACTCATGGCTGTATTAGATCAAAAGGGTGCTTCTACTAAATACTGAGCAAAGGGTCTGAATACTTATGACCATGTGATATCTCAGTTTTTCTTTTTTAATAAATTTGCAAAAATTTCTACATTTCTGTTTTTTTCTGTCAAGATGGGGTGCTGAGTGTACATTACTGAGAAATAAAATGAACTTTTTTGATTTTTGGAAAATGGCTGCAATGAAACAAAGAGTGAAAAATTTAAAGGGGTCTGAATACTTTCCATACCCACTGTATATTAGAGCTGACCCCAAATAGTCGAAGATTCAATGCTTCGATGGGCGGAGCCTGATTCGACTGTCAATCTCACAGTCGAAGCTTCGCAGCAAAACAAGGATCGTACCATTTTGGTGATACGGGGGAGCTCAACATCTGATTTTACATAGAACTACAAGTTTTATCCCAATAAGTTAATATGCTGCCTATTACAAAAAATTTCAACATATAGTGCTGTAAATAAACATGTGAAAAGGAAAAAAGGTTTTAATAAATTTTTTTAATGTGCGTGAATAAATTGTAACCCTAGCTCTCAAGGAAGAGGAGTCAGTGCACATGTGTAGGCGTAGCGCATATGTGTGTAGTGGCAGAAGAGGAACACTCGCTGAAGAGACGAAGCTGCAGCATTACCGATGTTGTGCAGAGTTGTCCGCACCTCGCGGGATGTTCGGATCATTTATCACCATTGATAACCACACAAATAATATTATATCGTTTTTAAACAGTTACTTGAAATGGAACCGGGAGGAACAGCGACGTGCGTCGGCCGCACGGCGTGCACGCAAAACTCTGCACAAGACCGGCGAATGGCAGGCAAGCAAAGAGAAATGGTCAAATTCGACGCAAATTCTTTGTGTCGAAGCTTCGTTTAATTCATATAACTACATAGCACACTGTTTTGCACACATTTACAGACATTTATTACTGTCGCGCATCGCGCTTACGCTGTGAAAACAACGTGTATGATGCCGCTGTTTGCAAAGTGGAGGAAGAGAGAAAATAGCGAGGGATGAAGAAGAAAGTGTCCGAAGTTACCGTCCGTCCACCGTAAAACAAAACTGATCAGAAAGCAGCCGGTGTTCTGCCAGCGGACCACAGACAAGGTAACAGTAACAGCAACTTTAGCATTTAACTGAAATCATAACTGATTGTTGAGGTCAAGCCAAAGTAAGCCGCAATCCTCAGCTGTAAATGTGACCACGTGCGTTTGTTGTTCTCCGTAAGTTTGTGTTGTAACGTTGCAGTCATGAGTTAACTGCGTGTCGGGGAGCAGCACCTTAGTATAACTTAGCACTTAGGTGATGTTTGTGTTGGTAAAGCAGCTGTCTGGTTGTTGGTCTGACGTTTGCTGTATGACACACTATGAATTTCAGAAAAGACTAATAAATATCTATCAACGTACACAGCTGCCAAGCAAAAGTACTTCTTAAACGACGCATCGATGAATCGCTGAAATAATCTATAGAAGCTTTGAATACTAAATTCATCGTTAGCTGCAGTCCCAATATATTTTTTTAAATAGCTGCATATAGTATTGATCAGGTAGGCCTAGTTGGTCTCTGCTTTAAAGACTGAGTAACACCTAAAAACAGGTGCTCAACAGATGTAAAAAAGACTCATCTCTCATCTCTTATAAACCAAAAGTTCACAGTAACAGTTTACAAAACATTCAGGCAAGCGTCTCATTTTTACTGACGTCACTGTCATAATTATTCAAAAAGTTACATTTCTCAAGTGTTATAAAACGTGTTGAATAAAGGTCTTGGTAGATATTTAACATGTATTATGTTATTTCTGTATGTAGCTGTTGCAAAGAAATGTGCTTCTTTAAAAGTAATAGAAATGTCAGAATAAGAGTTTAGACTGACTCCCTCACATGTGAAACTGCTGCACATCTGCAGTAAAACCACGCCCGCTCAGAAATCAGAGCATTTCCTCCTCTCATCATGCCTGAACTGGCGTCTTCTGCTCACTTTGTCATAAATGTTGTAATTCTCCTCATTTCAGAGACTTTAGAGATGAAACGGACTGAAAACAGATCAGGACTCTCGGTTCAGACCAAAACACACAAACCATCAGTTAGTGAAGTTAGTGTGATAATAACAAGCTGTGAGTCTGATGAGAACAGCCGACTGACGGGAGGAAGATCGATGATTTTACAGTTAATAATGTGAATCTGGAACCTGCTGCAGTTCTATCATCAGCTCCACTGACCCACCAACTACACAGAGAAAATACTTTGACTCTAAGATTTTTATCTAGTTTTGTAAAGAAACAAACAAGGGAAGTTTAAAAAAGGCAGAAGAAGAGTTTCCCAGCAGGATCATGTTTTTATAAAGCTTCATATAGTGGAGTCAGGCGT